ATAAGTTATTATGTTATGTTTATTTTTGCATAGTTAACGAATTTAGGATACCTGAAATTTTTGGTTCAAATGTAAACTGAAAAACTGAACCGAACTGAACCGTTCGGAGCTTTATTGCTGGATATGAAACATTTACATTGGAAAATAGTTTTGATTTGAAAGATTTATCAAAAAGGTACATTAAAGATGAATTGAAACTAGCCGAATGTAATCATGATGATATATTTGCCATATGGCATGATTAAAGATATAGAAAATTGGAATTGCAGCCAATTGCAGTACCAATCTTTAGGTATGATGTATATAAAAATCTCCTAAAGTTATTTTGTAAGATTGAGGATAAGTTAAAGTTAACCTTGAGCATTCAATTATCAGATCAACACAATGGTCACAATGGTCTTCATATTGACTCATACAGCCTGTTGATGGTTTATTTTTGTTTACAAGTATGGATTTTGTTCCATTACTTCACTAGATGAAGCACCAGGATTTGTAACTCTGTACAGAACAGTTAAATTAATGATTAGGTTGACTGTAAGTGTTTTATTATTTACAAAAGTTTTTTTTTCAAAATTTTATTTCTGATTTTTGAAACATTTTAATTTAAATAGTGTGAGATAGTAAATCTTGGACCTATCAATTGCCTGGTTAATATTGACCAATTAGAACGAATTTACTACGGAAGTCATGTGATGTGCTAAATATTACATCACGACCAATGACCATCTTTCTATATCATTGTAATGGTTGTGCTGCACATTGTGCAGTCTCACATGAAAGATTATTCCTATTCATATTTCTATATTTATATTTATTAACCTACTCATCTGATGTAAATATTTATTTAGTAATTAGTTGATAAGCATATTATTGGAGAGTAGAGTAGCACATATCACATTATTTGTATTGCCCCAAGAGGTATAAATACACTTGGCTTTAGACCAAGTTAATAAGCATCATTAATTAATCAATTGTTAATATTGTTGATAAGAGCCTTGATAACAACATAATAATAAATATATAACCTTACATAAAATAGTCTTCGACTGTAAGTAACTAATAAACCCAGTGTGATTGACCCCCCAGCCCTTCTAATGGTTAATGGTCTGGTCAGCCTTTAATTATTAGTTGGGAACCATTTTAATTATTCAGATACATCTCAAGGGGATGCCTTTGGGATATAGTTAGTAAAATAGAACCTAGGGACCCTTTATCCAAAAGGATAAAGTAACTTTGACCATAAGTCAGCATGTCATATAAAAATAACTTTGACTGTAAGTCAACAGGTAGGTTGTGTGTTGAACATAAAATAACCTATTAAATAGGAAACTCAGATTGCACACTTGCAACACAGAATCAAAACATATTAGAACCTTTCCAGTATTAGTATTAGTATTAATATGTCACAAATTTCATACCTTATATATGGCTTTTCAGTATTAGTATGCTACAAATTCCATACCTATTCCGTATCTTATTATTATATGCGGAATTAAAATGTACCTTTTCAGTATGTTATAGTTACAAATTTCATACTGATTCCATATCAAGTATTTCATGCTAAATTTGAAAAGACCATTTGTATCATATTAATTTTCTTTAAATTCTATTGGCTAAAACTCTTAGTCTGCTTGTATCACAATTATTTTCTTGAAATTTATTGGTAAAATTTGTAACACCACTTGTATCACTTGATGGATTTTACCATTGCCTACTGTAAGACTTTTGAAACTCATACAGAACATATACTAGATTTAATGAAGAAAGGGATGCATTACTTGAAAAGTCAAAAATGTTTGGCATTCCAATGGGTATAAGTATGTGTGGTGGTAATGAAAAAGTCATGCTCCTATAAAAAATTATTGACTGAAAATATATGGGAAATGTACAGGAAACAGTACATGAACCATATGTTATTTTTTATAGGGTATGGCTTTATGGCATTTGAGCAATCTAGTCTTAGTGTATCAGCAAATGAACCCTTAGATCCTCAAGAGGCTAAATGGATTTCAGACATAATGAGAGGTGGATTGATATTGGCCAAAAATGAATGGAAAGGTTATGGAGGTCAATATGACTTTACCAGTATGTATCCTTATTAATTACAAAAATTCTTCTTTTCTATCAAAAAGGGAAAATTTGACATGATCCCAGATTATAAATACAATAGCCAAGGAGACATAATAATGGCCCTTGGTGAGAAACTACCTTCAGTCAGTACTTTCATTATGTCAATGACTAAAGTCAAAAGTTTTGCCACTTTGGAAGAAAAGTAATTATGGCAATAATTATGGATTCTTAATATTCTTTATATGAATGAACATAAAATAACTATATATTAATATACATTTGACTAAAGAGTTCAAATAGTTGGAGATAATTTTGGCAACTATTAAAATTAATTATGGCAACAACAAAAAACTAACTATGAAATTACAGATACATCGATGATAATTGATTGATAAGAGGGGCAGTTATGACATTAGTAAATATTGAAAGCACCAATATTTATCAGATATTCTTTTAAAATTAATCCTATTTTTTTAGTTAATTATTGGCTTAATTTAATAAATCAATAACTCTTTTATATTGTAATTAAGTTATTGGTTAAATATTTATTTCTAAAGCTCTTTGTACTAAAATAATATCATAATCTTTTGTAGTAGTTAGGGAAAAAGAATTCAAGTAAAACGAATAAAACAAATAATTCGAGTAAAAAATAATTTGAATAATTTGAGCAAATAATTGAGTAAAAAATAATTCGAATAAAGCAAATAAAGCGAATAAAGCGAATAAAACGAAGCAAATAAAGTAAATAAAACGAATAAAACGAACAAGGCAAGTAGTAGTAATGTTAATATGCTATTAGATATACAGTCTAACCTTGTCATAACGAATGTGTGGGACTGACCACCTAAATTCGTTGTAACAAAAGTTCGTTGAGATGATCAGGATTGACAATTTTTTTACTAAGAAAAAATTGTTCTTTATTACAAAAAAAAAATTTTTTTGGTTGAGATTATTTCTTTTTAATAAGCAAATTTCGCTTTTTTGTTCAGCTGTAATAAAGTTTCACTTTTTAGATGACAATGACTGTGACTTTGTTTTTTTTTTTGATTACCGTCGTTCATTACATCTTTAAAAAATTATTATTATGAACAGGAGAATTTATTTATATATATAATAATCAGGTGAGAACAATGATGTAATGTGTAGAATATGCAAAATATGTATGTGTAATTTTTATTTATCCTAATAAAGAATCAATAATTTTTCAGTTTTGTTTGTTCGATTACATAATATTAAGTTTTAATATTTAATTATAATCAGGATTTGCTGTTTCACGAAATTAATCGCGTTGTATGTAATTTCGGTAGCTCTCCCCCCCCAGAAATCAAAAAAATTTTTTGTGATACAACCTATTTAACTGTTGTTTTTTATTAACAGTCGAATTTTAAAAAGGTTTATTTATTATCAGAACAAACAACTTACGTGAAGAGAAAATTTTTTTTAAAAAAAAATTAAAATTAAAATGCTCGCAACAACCCTCACTTCGTTCAAAGTTGTGGAAAAAATAGACGATCTACTCACTGACATTCTTATAGATCAACTATTCTTATGGTTTAACACATTTAAACTGAATCCTAATTATGAAATGGTCGACGTTTCATCTGAGGTCATTCTTGGCATCATCAGAAAAAATGTACTTGAAAAGGTCAAATTAGACCAGGCGTGCGAAGAATTATTAAGGTTAATAGAATTACTTTGATCATACACGAAAAAATGTCATCTAGTACATATAACACCATCGCCAAAAATACTCTCATATAATATATACATTTCAGTTAACAAAAGTTCAAATACTCGTGTATATTCTATAATTGTGGTTAAATAATTTTTTTTCGTTGCGCAAATCCACACATGCATTAGTTAATTGTGAATTTTATATTTAACTTGAACACACTATAGAATCCCTGCTATTAGAAATGTGGTACAATCAACTTTAGACGAGCTCACTTTCTTCAAGTAATCTAATTTCATAACACGATCGTTATTTCCAGTCAAGTCAACTTCTAAATAAGCATAACATAATACATATATTGATTGTTTCTTTTATTTCAATAATAGCCACGCAAAAAGATATTTACAAATGTATCAGGCAAATGCTGGATATGAAATCACTGAAACAAAAAGGTATCTTGGATCTTCTAAAAGGGAAGCGTGCATAGTTGCAACAAAAGATTTCAATGAAGGGGATGAGCTTCGCTTGTGTATCGGTGCATTAGTTCCTCTCACATCACATGAAGAAAATAAATTAGAAGGCGGAAGGGATTTTAGTATAATGTGGTCCCAGAGAAAAGATGTAATGTGCTTGTTATTAGGTCCAGCACGATTCATGAATGTAAGCTATATATATATACGTATTATATTTGTGTATTAATCACGTGATTTGTTTAATAATAACCCTTATTGTTGGCAATTAATTAATAAATAAAATAGCACGATTGTAAGCCAAACACTACATTTATTGCAGCTGGACAAAATGTGATCTCATTTAAATTCACCAGAAGTGTTAAAATTGGCGAAGAATTGACTTCATACTATGGTGATGACTATTTTGGTGAAGGAAATTGTGAATGTCTTTGTGCTACATGCGAACGTCTTAAAAAAGGTGGATATAAACCAGAATCTGCGATTCCTGATGAAGAAAATATTGGCTCTATCAACAGAGTTGTATATAATGATGGAATAGGTAAAGTAGTACGTCGCAGTGCACGGAACCATACCAATAATAATCATAGTGGTAAGTCGTCATTGTTGTTGTTGTTGTTGATTTAATGATTACATTGTATCAATTATATGATTTGTAATTAATAATTTTATAACATAATAGAAACACCTTTAATTCAAAGTCAAATAGTCACTCCAAGGCCTATAATTGACAGTGTTGCTGATAATCACCAAGACGAAGCGAATCTTATTGACGTGGATATGGACATCGATCATGACTCTCCAAGAACAGAAATCGAAGAAATTGACCATAACTACTCTCCAACGATGTTGTCAGATAAATCAACCGATAATGTTGCTACAGCCCTCACTTCTGCCCAAAGCTTTAATTACAACAGCACAATCCACCGAATTCCAAACAATGTTACTGGTTCGCATTCATCTATCCTTTTGAGTCACATGGGTTTGATGAGCCTAAAACAAGTCAACGAAGATCTGAAATGTTCTAGCGCCAAAAACGTTCACCGTCGTGTTCCTGATACAAATCAAAGGGGTCTGGATCCTATAGTTTCACATGGTACCATTTCTGAGAGTGCGTGCAATATAATTAGTAATGCAGGATATCATGGTTGGTCTGGTAGTCGAATCCCATTTCGACCATTGATAAGAATTCTTAATGGAGTTCAAATAATGGTAAAAAAAACTCATGCTAGCGATAAATCTAACTCTTCTAAAAATGTTATGTCAAGTACTGGTGCTGTTACTAGTGATGTCACCGCTGCTGCCGCCGATGTCAATGATCAAGAAACCAAATTGACAAGAAAATGGTGTAGGATATGTGATGACATGTTCGAATCAAGTAAAAATACAATGAGATGTTTAAGATGTACTCGACATTTAAAATTATTCACACTTGATTGGCCATGTCGTAGATTGAAAAGAACAAGAAAGGATGACAATCAAAAAACAACAACCAAAGCTGACAGTTCGGAAGGTTCGGCATCACGTCCTGTCAAAAGATTTAAAGCTGATATAACAATGGATCATCAACAAATATCGGGCACAGATAGAACTGACTGGTCACCATACCCGATAGAAAATATCGATGTTAAAATTATCAAGTACAAACGTGCAAATGGTCAAGTCAGTCATGGTAAGTCTTATAATATAATAAATAATTTAATCGATTTGATCCGATAAAATCCATTTATTATTCATGATTATTAACAATATATATTCTTGTTTCTTGTTAAATCAAATTAGCTTATGAGTATTGCTACAATGAAAATTTTGTAAGATGGGATAAGGACAGTGGTTTTGTCCATCTTAACCCTTTGAAAAGATCCTTTAAAAATTCATTGAGAAATTTGGAAAAGTTGAAGTGTTGGGATCAAACATGGAATTCAAGAAGACACATAATCATTGGTGGAAATATCAAATATCAAGGTACCTGGTTACCTTATGACCTTACAAAAAAGTTGTCAATTGAAATGATTGGCGAAAACGAAGCCTTTTTAATACCGTTATTTGGACCCAACTATGGACAAGAAAATTAAAAACACATTCAAGCTTGATTTCTCCAAAAAAAAAACCATCGCCAGCGGGAACACCTTAACCATTATCATTATTAGATGGAAACTTTATTTAGCAGCAACAATATTGTAAAAAATTATCCAAAGGTCCATCAATTTAATTAAATAAATGGGCTATTTTTTGTACATATAATTATTTTAAAATCATTTAATTTTAATATATAATTTATATCTATGTATATACACATTTAATATTTATTTATAGAATTTTAGATTCAAAAATTAAAAATAAAATATATATATTATTTGTTTTTTATTGCTACAATTGATTATTAAAAATTCAATTGTATATTTAATTTTTCATTAAGTTGGTTGTTATTAGAATTAGAATTAACCAAACATATTAAATAAATTAATTTAAATTACATTCAAATTTAAAGTTTATAAGATTTTTATGGTCATTAGGCTCAATAATACCAAATTATTAAATAATAACGACAATAAATAATCAAGAATTAAGAATTAGAATTAACCAAAAATGACAATAAATCAACTTTAGTTACAACATGTTTAGGAATTAACACACCATCTTCTCCTCGCTCAGTCACTACAGCAGAACTATTTGTTTCAAAAAATTTAGTTAACTTTTCTAACGGTGTATCGGATGTAATTTCTTCGAAATTTTTATTCCTAATAAATTTAAACATAATTTTTTCAACTGGTGATTCAGATGTTGCCATTCCCTTGGATAGTCTTGATAATAAATTACCAAGAGTAATAAGTCCAACTAGTATATTATTTTGGGACGCGGTAACAGGTAGTTGATCAAATCCATTTTTTTGTAGTATCTCAATAGCTTCTTTACATGACGATTTTGAATCTATAGTTATAGCCAGTTTCAACTTGAGATCTTTAATAGTTGCACCTCCCCATTTTTGAACCTTGATCTCCTCTTCTTTTTTGGTTACTTCATCGACAAATCCATGTGATTTCATCCAATCGTCATTCAAAAATTTTGACATATAGTTACGCACACTATCTGCTAAAAGCACTACACATCGCTGTCCCTTTTTCATTGACTTGGCTACTTTGATAGCTGCACACATTGCTGATCCAGATGAACCGCCACAAAGAAGGCCTTCCTCTCGAATCAATCTACGTGACATTATAAACGAATCTTTATCATTTGATTTGACCCATTCGTCAATTAAACTTCTATCAAGTGCTTCAGGAACAAAATCATATCCTATACCTTCAACCTATATATATATATAATTAAATGTAAAATTATTTTTCCTATTATTAAAGATATACATATCTTTAAAAAATTTATTATTTTACCAAATATGATTCGACTTCAGTTGAATCATCAGTTTCAGCAAGTAAAGATCCTTGAGGATCCACACCAATTATTTTAGTACCAGCACTTTTTTCTTTTAATTTTCTAGCAATTCCTGTTAAAGTTCCACCAGTGCCCGCACCAGCAACAAAGACATCAATTTTCCCATCACAAGATTTTAAAATTTCTTCGGCTGTGTGATCATAATGAGCCATTGGATTATATGGATTTTTATATTGATCCAATATAACAGAATTTGGAATTTCTTTGTTGAGCCTATTTGCCACTCCTATATGTGATTCAGGCGAATCCCAAGCTGCTTCAGTTGGAGTACGAACAATTTCTGCTCCAAGAGCTTTAAGTACATCAACCTAAATTTTAAAATTTATAATAGTATATTAAAACTTAACAAATAAAATTCTTTTTTTCTCTTAATATCCACTACCTTTTCTTGACTCATTTTTTCTGGCAAAGTGATGACAGTACGGTAGCCTTTTATAGCAGCAGTCAAAGCGAGTCCAATTCCAGTGTTACCAGAAGTTGGTTCAATAATTGTATAACCAGGCTTTAATATTCCTTCCTTCTCGGCCTCTTCAATCATGCGTTTGCCAATTCTATCTTTAACTGATCCCCCGGCATTGAAGAATTCACATTTTGCCACTATTGTTTATTTACAGAGAAGATTTTTAAATATAAATATAAATAAAAATAAAATAAATATGATATATTTACATATTTCACATTCGATTCCCTCCGCTTTTGTAATATTATTAATTCTAACAAGTGGAGTATTCCCAATATGATCAAGAATTGTATCAAGAATTAAAGGTTCTGGTACACTATATATGTTATATCAGGTTGTTATCATATAAAAAAGCCATTATAATGATATATATAGATAGTAAAACAAAACTTTACTGACTGTTCTTCATAATTGTGTGGACAAGGTAAAGTAGTTTTAGGAGTCCAGGTGCATTTACTCATGATGATTATTTTTATTACTAATAAATAATTTTTATTTTATTACTGGTAAATGTTTTTGGTAAATGTTTTATTTTTATTACTAATATTATTATTACTAGTAAATGATCGATATTTTTACTTTGTGCATGCATTATTTATTTATAATTTGTTCAAGTTGGGAAATTATTACAGGGCCGGGAAAACTATTGAATGTCACCCGCCAACACTATTACCGTCACTATGATTTGAAAGAGGAAAGGTGACCGCGACACTATAATTCGTATTAATACTAATATAGAATTAAATTTAAATTCAAATAAGGAAAAAAATCACGCCATGGGAATTACTAACTACAGTTGAACCTTGTCATAACGAATTTTGTCATAACGAATTTTTGTTACAACGAATTTTGAAAAAAAATTTTTTTTTAATAATAAAAAACTTTTGTTACATCGAATTTATTAATAGAATCTTGTTACAACGAACAACGAATTTTTGGTAAAATTTTTTGATATAGCTATATACTAATCGCGTTACAACGAATTCACGTGATAAATGACCAATAAAAATGCGTTAAAAATCGTATGATTAAAAGAATCATACAATCTATCGTTGTGATAAAAAACATTGTCAATAACTCGAAAGATTGCATGATTACTTTCATGTTTTATAATTGTAATAAAATAATATGATTTAAAAATTGTAATAAAAATATATGATTATTTTCCATGATTTAGAAATTATAATAAAACATTATTCCTGCAGTTTAAAAATTGTGATTTAAATATTTTTATGAAATTCTAAAAGGTGCAAATACAAGTCTTGTTGTTTGGGTGGTTATGTATCAAAAAAAAAAACAAAGTCACAGTCATTGTCATCTAAAAAGTGAAACTTTATTACAGCTGAACAAAAAAGCGAAATTTGCTTATTAAAAAGAAATAATCTCAACCAAAAAAATTTTTTTTTTTTGTAATAAAGAAAAAATTTTTTTGTCATACCAATATGTTAACAATTTTTGTCGATCCTGATCATCTCAACGAACTTTTGTTACAACGAATTTAGGTGGTCAGTCCCACACATTCGTTATGACAAGGTTAGACTGTATATCTAATAGCATATTAACATTACTACTACTTGCCTTGTTCGTTTTATTCGTTTTATTTACTTTATTTGCTTCGTTTTATTCGCTTTATTCGCTTTATTTGCTTTATTCGAATTATTTTTTACTCAATTATTTGCTCAAATTATTCAAATTATTTTTTACTCGAATTATTTGTTTTATTCGTTTTACTTGAATTCTTTTTCCCTAACTACTACAAAAGATTATGATATTATTTTAGTACAAAGAGCTTTAGAAATAAATATTTAACCAATAACTTAATTACAATATAAAAGAGTTATTGATTTATTAAATTAAGCCAATAATTAACTAAAAAAATAGGATTAATTTTAAAAGAATATCTGATAAATATTGGTGCTTTCAATATTTACTAATGTCATAACTGCCCCTCTTATCAATCAATTATCATCGATGTATCTGTAATTTCATAGTTAGTTTTTTGTTGTTGCCATAATTAATTTTAATAGTTGCCAAAATTATCTCCAACTATTTGAACTCTTTAGTCAAATGTATATTAATATATAGTTATTTTATGTTCATTCATATAAAGAATATTAAGAATCCATAATTATTGCCATAATTACTTTTCTTCCAAAGTGGCAAAACTTTTGACTTTAGTCATTGACATAATTAAAGTATTGACTAAAGGTAGTTTCTCACCAAGGGCCATTATTATGTCTCCTTGGCTATTGTATTTATAATCTGGGATCATGTCAAATTTTCCCTTTTTGATAGAAAAGAAGAATTTTTGTAATTAATAAGGATACATACTGGTAAAGTCATATTGACCTCCATAACCTTTCCATTCATTTTTGGCCAATATCAATCCGCCTCTCATTATGTCTGAAATCCATTTAGCCTCTTGAGGATCTAAGGGTTCATTTGCTGATACACTAAGACTAGATTGCTCAAATGCCATAAAGCCATACCCTATAAAAAATAACATATGGTTCATGTACTGTTTCCTGTACATTTCCCATATATTTTCAGTCAATAATTTTTTATAGGAGCATGACTTTTTCATTACCACCACACATACTTATACCCATTGGAATGCCAAACATTTTTGACTTTTCAAGTAATGCATCCCTTTCTTCATTAAATCTAGTATATGTTCTGTATGAGTTTCAAAAGTCTTACAGTAGGCAATGGTAAAATCCATCAAGTGATACAAGTGGTGTTACAAATTTTACCAATAAATTTCAAGAAAATAATTGTGATACAAGCAGACTAAGAGTTTTAGCCAATAGAATTTAAGAAAATTATTGATACAAATAGGCTATGTGGGAAAATATCACGTGAAATTATTTTCGACCAATGAAATAAAGAGTATTTAGTTAATTTTATTTTACTATACTATCCCTTAAGTAGGGATGGGGACGGTTTATGTCACGTCCGGCGACGAATAATATTTTTATAATTGATCAGTGACGATTAAAATACTAAATTACAGGTGACATTTATATTGCCAAAACAAGACAAATTAATTGTCACTTATAATTTAGTAATTAATCATCCCGGATCAATTATAAAAATATTATTCGTCGCCGGACGTGACATAAACCGTCCTATCCTTACCCTTAATAGTCGTGTGACATGTCCTAAAAATCAAGGGGCAAGTTTATTTTCCGAAAAATTTCCAGTGATCTACACAATTTTTTATTAATAAAATTTCGAATTGAATGTCTTCATACCCTCGTTTGATACCCTTGTCGTGTGGCAATTGCCACCAAATTTGATACATAACTTCTTTGTCATATGTATCTGCTTTAAAAATTTTTTTGAAGCAAGTTGTTAATAAAACCGAAAATAATCTCAGCCTTAAAGTCAAATTTTGACTTTATATTCATATATGTAGAAATCTGTTAGTGCGTACAAAGGTAAATTAAATGTTATAAATATTTACGGAATCATGCTCACTTTGTATGTCTTTATACTATCATTTATTTTAAACAAATAAAGTATGGTTTATACTAATATATTAAATTTTAATTATGACCAAGCATTTTATAGGAAACTTTATTATGGTGTGAAAAATGATTGATTTTTTATGAGCAATAATAATATTGGTGTAAGGAGTTAGTTAGAGTTGATGGAATTAATCCAGATACAAGAATTACAGGTAGAGAGCATTGTTGATATTAGAT